GAAGTCTGATGGGCTACCCGCCCAGAACGGCGGTGCAACGTCATTGTCGGTGACCATAGTATGGATGAGCTCTCGTAGCCTCGAATCTCCTGGATCCTTAAATGCTCTCCGTGACCATCGACCGAAACGCGCCGCGCCGCGGCACGAAGGAAATCGACGTTCAATGATTCTTTTTCTCTCCGCGTCGCACGGTGGGTGTTTGCTCCGAAAAAAGGTCATTTTTTTAAAACCATCGTCGTAATGAAAATCTCATTCGCTAATAGTCGATTCAAGTGTGCGGGCTATTATGGGTTTGCTATGATCGTTTTTACGATTTGTTCATTTCGGAGCGAGAGCAAACATGAGCCGTTTATCTTGAAAGTGGCATAAGTCTCACTTTGTTTTCAAGTCGATATATTAAAGGGTTTGCGTTTGAACACGTTTCAAAATATGGATGCTAACTTTCGAGAAGATTTACTTGTATTTGTTGGATACTGATATTTTTCTCAGTATAAATAATTTCGTATGAACATTAACAACCTCTTGACGTACCAGTTTCTTCGCAATTACCGCGACCAGAAATTTTTCAACTGCAATAATCTCTTAGAAGGGAAAGAAAATTGATGCTTATCGTGTGCTGAAATTTATTGAGATGCTTAAATATCGATGACAAGGGATTCGAATTTTTATTCCAATTTTAATGGACAGGCTAACATTTATACTCGATAAGTTATTGCTTGAAATTTTCGTGACGACTGAGACTCGTCAAAATTGCGGCGAGGGGTTAAAAAATCACCATTTTTCATTACGGTAAAGTGACTTATGCCACTTACAAAATAAACGGCTCGAATGGTTCCCTGAAGAGAATATGTTTAGAGGATTCTTCTTCTGCGAACAATTCTGTTGATTACAAGGTGTAGAACACAGCGTTCGAGAAAGAAAGCGAAAGGGCTCGGGCACCGGAGAATGTGATAACAATCGAAGATTTTTAAGTATCCTCGCGTACGAGGAATTAGGAGAAAGACAAGATCGAGAGCCGATAGTTCGGGGTTTAAAGCGCCAGGCCGAGAGATCCTATCCCAAGGGCGCGTAGGATGGTTCCTTCTAGTCGCCTAATCTCTTTGGTGTCCACCGAACATGGCTCCCACGAGTTCTGCGGGATTATACCTTTGACTGATCTGCGTTTGACCGATTACCACGATGGGAGCCGCATGCGAGGACTTGATAAGAATTCAAAGATGATCACGTTCAATAAGCCAATTTCGATTCTGACAGCTTCCCCGGGGAAGGCGGGGGGTATAATTAGTTAAAAACATCATAATATCGGCTTCTCCGCAAAGATTCACGGAACGATGTATATATTTTTATATATATTTTTAAAATATTATTGGTAAACCGTGGATTTTATGCGTGTGTGATGAAAATCTGTAGACGAATTAGAAAATAGCAGAAACATCAGAAACAATTCAAGGATGCCATTGCATTGTTACAGATTTATTAATATTATTCAGAGAAGAGATAACTTTTAATTCGAATTCTATTGGTTGCGATCGATGCATATGATTTTTATTTTTCATAAATGTCTGCGTTGTAGGCATCGCGAAACGTTTGCGCCACATTCGATTATTATAAATCAGTTCTTTCGATTCCATTTATATTCGAGTTCTTTTTTAATTATTATTATATTAATCTAATTCTATTTTAATTATTATTATATTAATCTAATTGTATTTTAATTATTATTATATTAATCATTCTCCATCTTTCCTTAGGAAGGAGTGAAGTAGTTTTTGTATTCAGAAACGTGACTTCTCGTTTAATAGTTAGATTTGGATATCAGCTAGCTCCTTTCACAAGTCTGTATTATTATAATATTTTAATAATACATAATAATTTAATTTTCATTTATTGCAATCCTGATAGAACTGTTCGCAGTGTGGAAAATTATGTGAAAAAGTGTGAAAAGATTAATAATAATTGTTTCTCTTCCACACATTCTCTCTCTCTCTCTCTCTCTCTCTCTCTCTCTCTCTCTCAATTGTCTTCTAAATTCCAGATTTATTATTCAATTAATCATGAACAACTATAATTCCGAGCTCGAAATTGTCAAAAAGGACGAGCAGATATTATAAATGGGATGATCAAGCGCGCGTATTTCACGGGCACAATCCGCACGACTTTTATACGAGACAGAACAGTCGACCCAGAGATTGTAAAGAGATAGCCACCCCGAGTGCCGAATTCTTCTGTTAGCCAAGCGAGTGGCGTCACCTTTGTTTAATGCCTCACCGTCGACTTCACAAATCGATATCGATCTATCGACACGGATCGCTTGCTTCTCATGGTCATGTCTACCCGAGAGTATTAATATGATCAAATACTGATTTTTCTTTTTTCTTTGTTCGTTGTTTCCGACGCACGATCTCGCGATTCGAATAATGATTGTTGGAAAGACTTCTCTTTCATTTTCTCGAAATTTATTCTTTATCGTCGCTTTATGTCGCGTACGTACGTATGCTGCGACATTTAGCACTTTTAATGAGTTAAATGATATACATATACAGTAAATTGTACCTAATTGTCCTTCAGCTTATAAGCAGAAATGCATAATTTGGGAAGAGGAGATACGATTGTTCGAGCTTCGCGCTTTATTTTTGTAGTTTCCGATTGTGAACAATTATAAAAACGAGGAGCAAGGCTCTTAGCACTTTTAATTAGTTAAATGATATACATATACAGTAAATTGTACCTAATTTTCCTTCAGCTTATAAACAGAAATGCATAATTTGGGAAGAGGAGATACGATTGTTCGAGCCTTGCGCCTTATTTTTATGGCTTCCGATTGTGAACAATTATAAAAACGAGGTGCAAGGCTCGAATAATCGCATCTCCTTTTCCCAAATTGTCCACTTTTGTTTACAAGCTGAAGGAAAATTAGGGGGAAAATACTGTAATATGAATTAACGCTATATTGAGTAACATCCAGTGGTATTAAATTGAGTGATTCAATTATCGAAGTCCTTTGAGTAATTAAAAGTTAACTTTATGTATCAACAAATCTTTTTCTTGTTAGAAAATCGAAGAACAATATGAACTTTTAATCAGTAACTTCGTTCCCCTGAAAACATTGCAGAAATATGTTATTGTACCAGATGTAAAAAATAGGTACGGTTGTTTCCTCTTTTACTTCTTTTTACGCGCTATTTACAAGAAAAAAAAACTCGTTATCAATCGCATTGTTCTGCAAAAAATTTGGTACACATTCATGACTCGTCAAATTAAAAACAATAAAAGAATCAGTACAATTTATGTTTCGCAAGGCTTGAAAATAATAATCTCGATTCAATAATCGAAGATTTCCGAGCATTTCTATTTTATTTTCACAATGTGTCATCTTTTTTCTTTTTAATTCTAATTTCTGTGAAATGACCCACGAGAATGAGAATTTGCATAAAAATCTGCAGACTATTCATTGAAACATATATCGTCGAAGAACGTCTAATCGAACTCTAACGGAGCAATTTCTATCGAGCTAAAAGATTGATCCATTGTAAAACTGCAACATTGAATATATATCAGATCAATCGATGAAATCTACGCAAAACAAGAGAATTTTAAGTGGCACTTGCCAAGAGGCACGTGAAAGCAGAAAGCAGCAGTCGAGCCTCGATAAACAATAAGTCGTTAATTATGAATCGTGGTCTGTGCGCGAAAGAAAGCGTCTTAGATACCGAAGTCATTTCGCGATTTGAATCAACTCTTTGTTTTCAAATGCCGGTTGTACGGCGCCACTCCGAACCGCTTGCTACAGGCACAAGTGAAAACAATTTCAACGTCGCTTTTATCTGTATCCACTTAATGAATTGTTAAAAACTTGGATCGATTGTGTGACTGCATATAAATAATGCGTTCGATTTACCTTGTTTGTAAATTTAAGATCGATGCATATATCAGATATCCGAACTTTTGGAACGATGCTGTGAGCGACTGTTATATTTTCATTAAATGCACAACCAAGATACTAATGTTTACTAATCAGAGTATGTTCCGTCATGATTAATACATTTCATTCGTCTAGACATAAATGCATTTATTCTTTTTTCAAAAGTATTTTTGTATAGGACGAATTGTTTTAAGTGACTCTGATATTCTAAAACATTGTGAAATTAATAAATTAATATTGAATTCTTACTATTATTTCCTAATTTATATTCATACTAAAAAAAGAAAAGACACACACAGTCGCATTTGACTATTCTTTATTACTTGAGTCATTACTGTCATCTTATTTTAAAATAATTGACTATTTTCCATTCTCCTAATTTCTCGAATTTAATGTCAATTAACACTAGAACTACTAATTTTCCATTCTTCTAATTTCTCGAATTTAATGTCAATTAACACCAGAACTACTGATTGAATTGAAAACTCGAATTTATCGTCTTACTATTAACGATGATGTAAAAATTCTTCTATGAGAAATTTTTAAATAAACTTTTTCGGTCAAGAATATGTTAGAACAGAAATTGTACGGAGTTTAAATGAAACCAATGGTCATTGTTCTGAAACAATTAGGGGCAGTTGACAAGAAAATTTCAAATTTTATAAAACCGAACGCTTCATATGCACCAATATCTATTATATCATATTTAAGATAATGTAATAACAAAAAAAATTCCAAATGCAATCATTTCGCCTGTCACTTCTATCGCATCAATGAAAAATAATTAATTGAACATGGGACCACGTTTAATGCTCAAGGAAATTTCGTAGAGCAAAAAGTAACTGTATACAAAATGATAAAAAATGATAAAAAGACAAAGAATCTGTATACAGTAGAAACGATCGAATCCCCCAAAAAAATCGTAGAGTCAAAAATGATTCTAGATTGAATGATATTCCCGAGGCGTCTCCGCTGAAATGGTTTCATCTGCAAAGGATTAGGCTATTGATTGAGGATTGCTGTGTTAGAAAAGGATCGTGAAAAGAATAATAATAATAATAGATCGAATTTTACAAACCTTCTCGTCGTTCGCATTGATCGCCTCCAGCGCTTTCAGTTTTTCAATGTCATCCTCGGTTCCTTTTTCCGACGTGGACGCTTTTTTCGTGGTGGCAGTTGGTTCCACCAACGTGAAACCCAGGTCCACATCTTGCTTCCAGAGCACCTCGATTAGGTCCATGTCCTGAAAAATAGAGAACTCTCCTAAGAATTCTTTTCCAAATAGGTATTATTCGGGGTAACTATACCGACAATAGCAGAATTCGAGCTGTTCGACAAACTACGAAACTACTTCGACGTCATTTTTTAACTCTTGATCAATTTCGTTTCGTTACAACTTTATCGTCGTATCATATCTGAATCTTTTAATTTGTATGAGTAAATTAATAATATAATAATAATAATAATAATAATAATAATAATAATAATAATAATAATAATAATAATAATAATTCGATACATTTACGAAAAAAATTAGTAGATCGAATGGAAAACAGTGAATACGTTTATACAGAATTTAAAAGCAAACTGTTGCATTATTTTCAACTCGCCGAAATAACTAAAGAAAGAAACGAACGTCCACGTAATTTTTTATTTCGCATAAAGAATCCGCAGTCGGCTCGCGACTTATCAGTAGATAAGGATATTTATATTAATCTCGAAGAGGAATGATTATCCCCTTTATTACGCGTGTACCTTGGAAAAGCAGATAAAAGGAGTAAAATAACATTTAATAATAATCCTTTATAATAATCTAAATAATCCTAATAATAATAATAAATCCCTAATAATCTAAATAATCCTTAATAATAATAAATCCCTAATAATCTAAATAATCCTTAATAATAATAAATCCCTAATAATCTCTCTAAATAATCCTTAATAATAATAATCCTTTTCTTTTTTAAACGTTAACTCAATTAACTTGCCAGTTAATTCGCTAAAATCGACATTTTTGTCTTCGCGAACTCTTTTGCTCCAACGAGACCGAAAACTTCCGAACTTCAATTCCGAGCTAAATCGTCTCGAAAGCTCGTTACAGCTCGATAACGATCGAGTCGTTAAATACCGAACGACGCGCGAGATCATGTCGACAGCGAGCGCACAGAATCTGCAGTCTAATATTCGTTCGACGGACAAATTTCTTGAAAAAACAAACCAGCCAACGGATCCTTTTGTTTGTTCATTGGCACCGTTTTCTTATTGCTGCGAGTTAATAAGTTTCGGTCTGGATCGTTGTTCAAAGTCAGAATCACGATCCACGAGAGACATTTTTGTTACACGGCCGGGATGTCGCTCTAAGGGAGTTTCATCGACGAGTGTGTACAAAAGTGCATGATTAATGATGGCCGAGTATCGATGCATCTCGAAATAGAGGAGATCGAAAGGAGAAGAAAGAACCTGGGAAAAGGGATCAATCACATGACGAGGCAGAATCGTCGAGGCAGCTGGCCCGTAGCTTTTAATTGAGTCAATTTCGCCGAGTTCGTATTCAGTCTCGTTAACTAATCTACAGATTTTCTTCGCTAATTTAAATCTTTGGTATTATTAACGGCTACGGTGCAGTCGGCCGGTGTGTGCAACGATCGCGGTATGCTAAATTTTCGGCGCAACTAGATCCGTTTCTTTTTCTCGCTAAGTACGGATAGATCGACAAATGGAGACTCTTGGGCGCTTGCAACTTTGGAAGTTTCGGAAGATTAGGCGAATCTGATATTCTGTTATTCTCCTCCAATTGTTCATTATATGATAATATTTATTCATTTCTCGTTATAAATGTAAAACTATTAATCATGTGATTATAAAGTTACCGATGCATTCCTCCGCATCCGTCGTAGCATTATTTAGTTATGCGTCAATGATCGATCTACTCAAATATAACAAACTTTCCTATGCAACATTTGAGAAAAAAAGAGCAATATGGAAGAAATATTATATATATATAAATCGATGATCTATGGAAAAAATACTTTATATTCTATTATTCGAATTTTTCTATTCTATTCTATTCTATTCTATTATTTTTTATTATTCGAATCTATTTTCTGTATGAATACCTATACGAATAAATTATTCGGAATAATATAATATTAATTTATTAATAATATTAATAAATTATTCGAATAATATTGTTCGGATAAATTTTCATCCATATAAATCTGTATTCAATTCCGTTCTGAAATTTGATCTACTCATTTTATTATAAATCCATAAAATTCACAGCCTAATAATGTGGCAATATATTAGTATGTTACAGAATTATTCCGATACATTATACATTGGCGGGACAATAAATCACGAGCATTTTTCTCAAATTTAATGTTCTCAATCGCTGACGTTTGTCCGTCAAAATTTAGTTATACGCAAAGAACGGCCGCTCTACAATATATTATAGCGTAAAATAAAAACTGTATTTTTACAGGCTCCATTGTTTTAACCCTTTGCACTCGAAGCTATTTCAACTGTAAATATAAAATTATTTTTCTAACTTACAATGTTTCTATTTCATACGACAAAATGCATTTTATGCGGATGAAATTGACTCTTTGAAGTCACGCAACAATTACACACTCTTAACAATTTTTTAAATCTAAACTTTGTCGATATAAAAATTATCTTAAAACGCGATGCAACAAATTTTAGTGGTGCCTCAGAGTCACCACTCGAGAGTGCAAACGGTTTTAACTATTTCCAATAAAAACATGCACGCGCACAAACTTCCGCGGTCTAATCATTATCAGCTCAAGTTCAACGGATGCATCAATCTTCGCTCGCCGCTCCAACATAAACGCGCCCTTATTTTGGTGCCACGTTTAAAACAATCCTATGCTCTTTCAACCCCCGACGGAAACAAATCGCACCCGAGATTCCAAAGATTCGCCGCTCCAACATAAACGCGCCCTTATTTCGGTGCCACGTTTAAAACAATTCTATGCTCTTTCAATCAATCGGAATTACAGTTAACTTCCTGTATTAGGTAGTTTCCGGAGCAAAGAAAACACCCCCGACGGAAACAAATCGCGTCCGAGATTCCAAAGATTCGCCGCTCCAACATAAACGCGCCCTTATTTCGGTGCCACGTTTAAAACAATTCTATGCTCTTTCAATCATTGGAACTACAGTCAACTTCCGGTATTAGGGGTAGTCTCCGGAGCAGAAAAGAAAACACCCCCGACGGAAACAAATCGCGTCCGAGATTCCAAAGATTCGCCGCTCCAACATAAACGCGCCCTTATTTCGGTGCCACGTTTAAAACAATTCTATGCTCTTTCAAACAATCGGAACTACAGTCAACTTCCGATATTAGGGGTAGTCTCCGGAGCAAAGAAAACACCCCCTTTGTTTCAACAAATCGCGTCCGAGATTCCAAAGATTCGCCGCGATAGAAAAATATGCAGCAGAAATATTCCATGGATCCGTCGAACGCGCGCAGGGGGGCGGGGGGCCCATTGCCGCGCAAATGATTAATCTCCGCGCATCGTTATCGGCGATCGGAAATTTGAACACGACGCTTCGGAACCCGGGGGTAACAGATATGTTTCTGCATCACGCTCGATCAGGGACGCGCCTTTGAAAATTACTTCACCGAGCGTGTAATTTGATGCGGCGAACGAAGGAACGAACGAACGAGAAAGAAATGGAGGACGCAGACGAAGGAGAGACGCAGCGTGGGTGTGCATACGGGGTCGGCCATATTGAAAAGACACAGCGGGGCGCCCGCCGCGCCCACAGCTGTGTGCCGCCGCGCTCTTTCTCTCGCAATCAGCCTCGGCCTCCACGCTTCTTCCCGGTCTGTACGGATTGTGTGTCTCACCTGGCACCGTTGCATTCGCTCCAATGATATCGACGCCTTTAATTTTTATTCGATTAGCCGCACGCCGAGATAAAGCCCCGGCAACACGGACTCGGAGAATCGAATCGAACGGCCCCGGCTTTCCAGCTGCCGCGCGTTATTCGCTGACTTCTCGCTCGTTGGCTCGTCGGTTCGATAAAACTTTTCTGATGAAACCAGAGCGCGAATAAATCGTCGCGTAATTTAACGCTTTCGTTAGTAATATTTATTAGACTACGTTTATCATGTGTTCACGAGGAAATTGAGTACGCGAGGAGAGCGGAAACGTGTGATCATTGAAGCTTAAAAGTGGCTTATATAAAATAGCTTGTTATGTTTACCAATCAATAGCTTTAACATTAATTCGCAAATATATCTACTTTCAACACGCGAAGCACACAACGATTTGCGATTTTAACTCGATTTGCTCGAGTTCAAAATCTGTAACGCGCAAGTACTTTATAACTAACGTGCCCATGCAGATGCAAAGATAAAAAATAGTTATCGAGCCATCGTGCTACAAAAGAAAAGAAAAGAAAAGAAAAATTCGTGATAGCCGAAACAATTACGTCCGTTCAGGATGATCGACTCAATAACCGTCGTCGTGACTTGTTGAAAGAACTCCGCATTATTTTAAATAGCTATTTAAAATAGCTTGTTTTATGTTATGGCATTTTTTTCAGAACTTCCAATTGTTTACGGCTTATAACAACGTTGGCCGATTCATCGGTTAATTAGATTAGTTATCGAGCTCTATAAAATGCAATTCTCGAAGTTCAAAGATACGAGCTCTTGATTTTCTTGTCATTCGAACCAATTGTAATTCTTGCAAACAATTGTTCGCCGATCGTTCGGTAAACCAGATCCTCGAACATTTCAAAAACATTTATATCATTTGATCCGGGGTCATAAAATTGTTCCCACGTTTAAAATGTGTGCGAATATTTTCGTGCATACTTCGCCCAATTACTATGCCCGAGGAGCTTGGCAACGGTCGCGTTGTAAAATGCGAAACTGCTTAGATTTCGTTTTCAAAATAGCTACTATTTTGTAACGAACATTTGCAACGATGCAAGATGATTTTGAAAAAATAAAACACAATTCGTTTGAACCGTTAGATTAGAAAGCAAGGTACCACGCGTACTAAACTTCTCGAGGAGAGCGAACGCGTGCACGGAGATACCCTATCGATCGAAGAGATCGACGCCGAAACGAGAGAAAAGCATGGAAAAAGCGGGATCGATGTATCGGGGAATCAGCAATTACATGCTCGTAATGATCGGATGAACGTTATCTAATATCGCTCGGCTCTCTCAGATCGAAGGCTCTCCCGACGCGTCGCGTATAAATTT